AGTGTTCTTTGACCTCGATTAGTGTCATGCCCTCTTTAATCTTGTCTATTTTGTTCATTATGACAGTGTTGGTTCCTTTAACGGCTTGGAAACTAAAATTTCGAGGACGTTTTTGGACTTTTTACATTTAGGGCATGAATTTTTCGTCATTTCAGGCCATGGAACCTAAAAATGAGCCTAGCTAGCTGTAAAGAGGGGCAATACGGAGGCAATACGTCCTATCCGGCATGATCACATGCTGTTTACGGAAAATTCCCTCATCCGTGTTAGGAAATTCTGTATTTTAAAGCTTCCCCTAGGGCATGACTCAGCAACTGAGGACATTTCTGCTACGTTTTCAATGTTGGTTAGCATGCAAGGATTTTTCCCATGCCTATCGTCAATGATTTGCTCACTGGTAATAGAGGGGGTGGCCCCAGAGTGGTTTTGTATTGAAATTGGCATGCAACACAATTTCGCATGCCCTGTAAGCATAATTTGAGGTTCCGTGACCTTCTCGCCCAGGCCGCGAGAAGCCTAGGTTCTAGTAATAAGTAATTCATACCCAGCAAAATCTCCGACATGCCAGGCATGCCAAATTTTCTGTCATGCCCGCCGGCATGCCAAATTCTCTGACATGCCCGGCAAGCCAAATTCTCAGGCATGCCAGGCGTGCCATAATCTGGGTCATGCCGGACATGCCAAAATCGGTCTCTAGCATGCTCTCAACGCACAGGTTATAATTCCTTGAATCTACAGATATTTTAAGCCTGGCTAAAATAAAAATAGCCTGTGTACAGCCGCCCCTCCCCTGTACACAGGCTAAAAAAAAACTAAACAGATCACCGTGCTTATCTTTTGATGTACGGTTACACGATGACGTCATTGCTATTCCTTTCATTTTCATAGATTTGGTTGTCCCAGCGAAGTTTAAATAACAAAAGCTCTAATTTTCACAAGAACGTAAAACCCTGAGGGATTCTGCCGTAGTAAGAAAACAGCGTCATCGTGGAGGTGACCTGTTGGGGGATTGTGAAAACTCCTCACCCTTTTTTAATGAGTGTTTAATCAGGAACAGGATTGCCATTTCGCATTGCAAAGAAAATGGAATTGACTGAATCAGTAAAAAGAGACAGAGACTATTTTCATTTTATAATAAAAAGCATCTATGTTCCATGAAAGCTTTTAAAAATACAAGGTTATAGAATATCTTTCAAAGTTCACTACAAACTGAGCTAAGCCCCAAAATCACTGTTCATCATTCAGTAAATTATGAAAATTGACAATGCAATGTGCTTGAATATAACGTTGCAATTACAAATCTCTCTAACGCAATTTTCCCTACGTTAGAAAAGCTGTCTTTATCTTGTTTCAAATTTTGATAAGGAGTCTGAGTTCCCCTTTCTTGTTTTGTAGGCTTGCCAGGGATTAGTGTCTTTGTGTCATTACCAGTGTCTGTGTTCTTTGTTTTTAACTCAAATTAAGTCAGTAATAACTGACAGTATCAAAGAATTGCTCTCTAGAAAAGTAATTATCTCCTCGTCATGTCTGGAAGTTACCTGTAACAAAAAAGAAATGGAATGTTAACACATGCAAGGGCAATATGAAAAAAGAAAGAGAACATGTAGACTCAGCTTCTCTTAACATATTTTCATACTAACTTGTTGAGTCTGTTAAAGGTCGCAACTGATTGTCTGAGGCTAATTTCACAATAGTGTGCAATTGAGATAAATGCATGGTAAATAAAGTGAAAGAAACGTGGTTTCACATTAGCCAATTTACATTGCGTTGTTCGATGATGTTTACATGCTCTTGTACTGCGAAATAAACCTTTGCATTTGGGTTTGCAAGTCAAGATTATCCCGAGTTTGACTGACACTTGAACAACAGTTTCATTTTAAAGCCGGAATATGTAAAGGAAACTCAGCGAAAACTTTTTCGCATCTTTTTGTGGCGATATTCTCTCATGGCCCGTCTACTGATTAGGGGTTGAGAAGAAAAAAATACATTAGGACCAAAGGTTAAAGCCTGTCCGGTTACATCATTTCGTATGTTACCTAGAGTTCTAATAGATAGGTCATAAAATAGGATTTAACGAGAGCGAATTTGTTTCTCAATCGGTGTATTTAAAAGTGAAGCTATCAAATGAGAAGTTTATAAAGTATCAAAATTATTGAGTTAAAAGCTCATATAATTAGGAAAATTCCTATACGAAAACAGAGCTAGTGACATTAAATTGATCTGACAAAATTCTCACAAAATATGTCGAATAAAAGCCTCATTGTTTGCTTTTGTTTTTGCGTAAAGGCCAATTTTTTGGCCCCCAAAGCAAAGTGGAAAAAACGACTAAATCTTAGTTTTTTACATTGAACATGTTTATTAGCTTAGTTTTCGTCCGTTTTAAAAGCTTTATAACCCAATCATAATTTTCGAGTTAAAATAGTACAAAATCATTTCAAATCCATGTTCATTTAAAGTAGAGCCGGCAAACGTGAACATTTTGTTATTCAAAAGTCGGACC